GCATTTTCAGTTGTATTAAGCAAGCTGAGATCTCTATACACCAAACCCTGAACCTTGATTAACACTGTTTAATGTTGCACAGTGACTAGCTTATGTTAACCTTTGGCTAGTATATTCCATCTAAATTAATACAACAATTCACAATTAAATAGCTGGAACATTTTTTTAAACCTAGATATGTCATTGCTGGCAGCCTTTGGAATAAAGTATTATAAAGATTCAGAAGTAGTAGTAACTCATTCAAGTATCCTCTCACTTTCCTGCTGTTGGACAAATGGGTTTTGCAAGTTTAAAATCCTTCCTCAAACTAAGCCAAACTTTGCATAAAAATGCCCTTGGAAATCCTGCACTTTCCTGTACAGGGGAAAATCCCACTTCCCATCCCACAACTAGCTTTGGAGGAACCTGAAGGCAGTGGAGCCAATGTTGTTCTGCTGCACACATGAGATAAGATGTCTGGAATCCCATCCAGGATGTAGTTGGAAACCCCCATGTGCTGTAGTTGCCAATTCTCAAGACCACTGCATGCAAGGATAATTTGGGGTTTGGGAGGGAATGTATTGCATAGACTCAGGTTTCTGCAGATGGATTAAAAGCAGCGAGTTAAAGGTCAAACCAGACAAAAGGTGTCTCAAGAGGGGCACCTAAAAAAGGTCATATTTTTTAAAAGAAAGTTGGCTATACCTTCTTTCTTTTACTGTTTCCTCATGTATAAAACAAGTATAGTATTTACTGTATCTACTTTATTGCACAGGAATAGTGTGAAGTTTAATTGTAAGTCTGTGTATAACTTGTGCCTGCCAGTTTGGCTATGTAGCCTCACAGCAACCCCTACTAACTCAGGACAGAAAGGGGGGCAATCATCCAGCTATCAGCAGCTTTCCTTTAAAGATGGATATGTGGTCATTTTGTGTTATAAATATTTGTGATTTTTCTTCGGATGGTGTCATATTTGGAAATGAGGGAGGGGAGATCCCACAGGAGGATTTTTCATAAGGTGACATTTCTTGAATCTCTTTGGTTCAGAAATATTGTCCACTGCTTTACTGCAGCTTGGTAGTTTTCTTTCACATAGTTCATTTTGCTTAATATGTAGTTGTCAAGGCTGGATCCCCACTTTGAACTTTAGGGTACAAATGTA